GTAAATGTCAGGCCCATTTTGTCTAGAGTGTAGTTTAATTTCAATTTGGGTGGCTTGATTGTCTGTCTGGATGACCTGTGCATTACTGAAAGTGAGGTGTTGAAGTCAGTCTTCAGCTATTTATTTCCCTTTCCCTTTCCCTTTCTTTCCCTCTTCCTTTCCCCTTCCCTTTCTCTTTCCTTCTGCACATTGAATATGTTATTCCAATCCCTTCTGGCCTGTAAGGTTTCTGCTGACAAATCTGCCACCAGGCATTTCAGCGTTCCTTTATATCTTATTTGCTTCTTTTCTCTTGCTGCTTTTAGCATCCTCTCTTCATCCTTGACCTTTGTGAATTTATTATATGTCTTGGGGTAGTCTTATTTGGATTGAATCTTCTTGGTGTTTTTTGAACTTCTTTTACCCGAGTGTTCATCTTTTTCTAGGTTCTGAAAGTTCTCTGTTATTTCTTTGAATAAACTTTCTACCCGTTTCTTTTTTTTACTTCCTCTTTAAGGCAAATAACTCTTAGCCCTTTGAAGCTGTTTTCCAGATCTTCTAAGTATATCTCATTCTGTATTTTTCTCCTCTGACTGTGTGTTTTCAAATAACCTGTCTTACAGCTCACTAATTATTCTTCTGCTTGATCAGTTCTGTTCTTGAGACACACTGAAGCATTTGTCAGTCGTCTATTATATTTTTCAGCAGTAAGATTTGTTTGATTATTTTTCCCCCATTTTAGTCTCTTTACTAAATTTCTCTCATAAGTTTCTGAATTCTTTCTCCATGCTTTCTTGAAGTTGTTGGGCTTTCTTAAAACAGCTATTTTGGGTTGGGCACAATGGCTCATGCCTGTAATCCCAGCACTTTGGGAGGCCAAGGCAGGCGGATCACGAGGTCAAGAGATTGAGACCATCCTGGCCAACATGGTGAAACCCCATCTCTACTAAAAATACAAAAATTAGTGGGTGTGGTGGCACAGGCCTGTAATTGCAGCTACTTGGGAGGCTGAAGCAGGAGAATTGCTTGAACCTGGGAGGCGGAGGTTGCAGTGAGCTGAGATTGCTTCACTGCACTCCAGCCTGGTGACAGAGCAAGACTCTGTCTCAAAAAACAAATGAACAGACAAACAAAACAGCTATTTTGAATTCTCTGAGAGGTCACATAGCTACACCACTCCAGGATTGGTCACTGGTACCTTATTTAGTCTGGTTAGCACAAATGTTTTTCAAACATTTTTTCTCAGATGTCCTTGCTGCTTGTGAACAATCATCAGTGTTTGGGCATTGAAGAGTTAAATATTTATTTCAGTCTTCACAGTCTGGTCTTGTTTGCACCTGTCCTTCAGAGGGCCTTCCTAGAATTCAAATATGACTCAGTGTTGAGTTCCCTAAGCCTGTGGTCACTGCAGTTGTTTCAGCACTAGAGGGCACCCTAAGCCCAGTTGTGCCACCACTCTTACAGACACCTCGATACCCAGCATTGATGGACTTGGGTATCTAGGTGTCTGTAAGACATCTAACATTCTCTGGGTTCCTAGGCAAAGTTTCTTGCTCTCTTCCTTCTCTTTCCCCCAGGTAGAGGGAGTGTCTCCACAATGAACTGCCTGAAGTTAGAGGAAGGGTAATGTGGGCACTCGTGTGGCCACAGCAGCTTAGCACCATGCTGGGTTACACCCAAAGCCCATGACCTCCCAGACCAGTACAGCACCAGAGCTCACCCAAGGCCTATGGAAGGCGTCCCCAAACTACGGCCCACGGGCCACATGCGACCCCCTGAGGCCATTTATCCGGCCCCCCGCCGCACTTCAGGAAGGGGCACCTCTTTCATTGGTGGTCAGTGAGAGGAGCACAGTATGTGGCGGCCCTCCAACGGTCTGAGGGACAGTGAACTGGCCCCCTGTGTAAAAAGTTTGGGGATGCCTGGCCTGTGGCCACCTGACTGCTGCTGATGCTTTCTCAAAGTTGAGACCGCTTTAGTCAGCAGGTGTTGGAGCCACCCAGGACTTGGGACTTAAGTTGTTTCTGGCACACCAGCAGATTCCCTTCTCACCCAGGCTGGGTCTAGAAGTGCTCTTCTACAGCAGCATCCTGGAAGTGGGGCTTTTGGACTCTGCCTGGTGCCTTGCATTATTGTGGCTGCACTGGTGCCTGGTTGTGAGATAAAGTCTCCTATACTCTTGGTTTTCCTACCCGCAGGCGTGGCCTAGCTGCTGGTGAAATTTATTTGGGGGCTGAGGTCACTTTAGTCAACTGACTTGGGTTCCTCTCACTGAAAAAGCTGATTACCCTCTGGCCCAGGCTTGGTCTAAATGCTCCCTCCTTGGGCATTGGCAGAATGCCGCCTGGTGCTGTGTTCTACTGTGACAGGGTGGCACCGAGTTGCAGTGTGAAGTATCGCACTCACTTTGCTCTCCTTCAGCCAAGCATACAAGTTCTCTTTCCAAGCTGTGCTGCCTGGGATTGGGAGGGGGTGGTATAGGCAGTGTATTCTTCCCACCCTATTCAGTGAGTCTCTACTTGTTATTATGCTGAAGCCGGGTACTGTGATCTCTCACCTGATTATTTTAGTTTTTATGAAGGTGCTTTTTTCGTGGATAGTTTAGTTTGACGTTCCTGCATTAGATAGGGAGGGAATGCGGTTCTGTTGGGCTTTTTTTTTTTTTTTCAGTTTTAAGTTTTTGTAGGTACATGTTGGATGTTTATATTTATGGGGTACATGAGATGTTTTGATACAGGCGTGTAGTGCTTAATAATCACATCATGGAGAATAGGGTATCCATGCCCTCAAGCATTTATCTTTTGAGTTGCAAACAATCCTATTGTATTCTTTTAAAATGTATACTTAAATTATTATTGACTATAGCCACAGTAGTTGCTACCAAAGAGTATTAGGTCTCATTCATTTTTTTTTGTTTGTTTTTTTTATTTGAGACAGAGTCTCGCTCTGTTGCTCAGGCTGGAGAACAGTGGTGCATTCTCAGCTCACTGCAACCTCTGCCTCCTGGGTTCAAGCAATTCTCCTGTCTCAGCCTTCTGAACAGCTGCGATTACAAGTGCACACCAGCATGCCTGGCTAATTTTTGTATTTTTAGTAGAGACGGGATTTCACCATGTTGGCCAGACTGGTCTTAAACTCCTGACCTCAGGTGATCCACCCACCTTGGCCTCCCAAAGTGTTGGGATTATAGGCATGAGCCACCATGCCTGGCCTGAATTCTTTCTTTCTATTTTTTTGTACTTGTTAACCATTTTCACCTCCCCCTCCCTGTTCATCTGCTTTGCCCTGCCTCCTGCTCCCTCTTGTAACTTTCTTTTTGTTTTTAGATGGAGTTTTGCTCTTATTGTCCAGGCTGTAGTGTAAATGGCATGATCTTGGCTCACTGCAACCTCCCCCTCCTGGGTTCAAGCGATTCTCTTGCCTCAGCCTCCCAAGTAGCTGGGATTACGGGCATGTGCCACCATACCCAGCTAATTTTGTATTTTTAGTAGAGACAAGGTTTCTCCATGTTGGTCAGGCTGATCTCAAATTCCTAACCTCAGGTGATCCACTGGTCTCAGCCTCCCAAAGTGCTGAGATTACAGGTATGAGCCACCATGCCCGGCCCCTCTTGTAACTTTTTATTATGGGAAATTTTATACATATTCAAAAATAGACTGATAATAATGTAATGATTCCCATGTGTCTGTTCTTATTTTCTCTATTGAATCCCTTTATTTCTGGAATATTTACAGCGAAGTCCAGATATTCATAAATGTATTATTCATAAATATAGTTATGGAGTTTTGTTTTTGTTTTTAATGGCAAGTGTATTGTTATTAACTATGGGAAACATGCAAAAACAGGTACATAAAATGAACCTTAATAAGGATTATGTTGAAATACCTTTTTTTAGTTCAAAGTTGCCAAGAGAGGCTTTTAACCAGGGAAGTTGTAGGACTAAAGCCTTTAAATCCTTTTTCCTCAGTCTAGGAAGCATGTTGCATTAGCACTTGATGCCTCATCACAAATAGAGCGTTTATTGATGAGCATAGGAAAGTCTCAGCTGTTGTCTTAATGCTTGGAAGAGTCAGTGTTTTCATAGCCCTCGCATGCTCTCTCTTCATTCCCTTATTTCTTCTCTTCCTCCTAATTTCTTCTGGTTTACAGTAAAAAGTGGAAAATGCAGGTCTAGGTAGTTACATGTTGGGTCAGTGACTCCTACTTGTGAAGCATGTCAACATTTCCTAATCAAATTCTAAAATACTTGCGTGTGTACTATATAGAATTTTCAAATGTTTGGCTTTTGAAGCACTTTCAAACTTACAGTGAAGCTGTAAGAATAGTGTAAAGAACTCATGTGTGCCCTTTATCCAGATTTTCCAAATTTTCACATTTTACATTTGCTTTGTTCTCTTCTGAGCCATTTATGAGCCATTTAAAAGTAACATCAAGATATCATATAATTTAAGAGTACAAAGAGTTAAATAGATGTTAAGTAAATGTTAATAAAATGTAATGGCTACTATTGTGAAGTAACCACAATCAGGTATACTATCTAGTAGTTTTATGTACATTAACCTCATTTAATTATTAAAGCTTAATACTGTGGATGATGATATGCTTCTCTTAGAAATGAAGTTTTTGAGGCTCATGGAAGTTTAAATAAGGGTATATAGCTGGTGAGAGACAGCTAGAATTTATACTGAGACGTATATAAGGCTTCAAAGTTGGTGGGATTCCCTGTCTTCCTTAGGTGAACCATATTACGCTTCCAGACTTCGTAAATCACTGCTTAGTGGTTCGCTACTGAGGTGAGGAAGGCAGCAAAGACTTTGAAAAATATCTTCAAGGCATTCTTAAGTCCTTGCTCCTTTATCCTCCCCTGCCTTTGAGCCATTGAATTAGCTGAAAGCAAACTAGGACAAAACAGAGAAAACAAAACATGCTCAGAAACATACTTTTAAGCAGCTGTTCTGTAGAAATGGATGTTTTGGGGAAATGTGTTTTCTCATTCATGGCTTTTACTTCCTTCATTGCAGGCCAAGCAGATAGAACTTCAGTTCACTATCGGCGAAGCCATTACCAGCGCGGCAATAGGAACTAGTTCTGTGGCTGCCCGAGATGCCTGGCTAGTGACTGAAGAGGAATATACTCCTCCTGCTGGTACCAAATATTCAGCTAATTAATTTATAATTATCAAGTAACCTTTTTGTTCTCTTTATCACATTTGAGGGAAAAAAATCATACATTCCATATTCTTTTTCAAATACTTATATTTGTTTACCAATTTCATTCAGTCAAGAAAAATAGTTGATAGAAGAAGACAGCATGAGGCTAGGCACAGTGGCTGACACCTGTAATCCTAGCACTTTAGGAGGCCAAGGAGGGTGATCACATGAGGTCAGGAGTTCCAGACCAGCCTGGCCAACATGGTGAAACCCCATCTCTACTAAAAGTATAAAAATTAGCCTGGTGTGGTGGCACAAGTCTGTAATCCTAGCTATTCTGGGGGCTAAGGCATGAGAATCGCTTGAACCTGGAAAGCGGAGGTTGCAGTGAGCTGAGATCGTGTCACTGCACTCTAGCCTGGGTGATAAAGGGAGACTGTCTCAAAAAAAAAAAAAGCAGACAGCATGAAATTAGTAACTTTTTTCCCTTTGGCAAGCAAGCCGGAGAGTTAGCTCTGGATTACCTTGAAGCTTGTGCTCTTTTCATGAGGATTTCAGTGTTTAGCCAGTTTCAGAATTCAAGGTATAGGTGTTTCCAGATGAGGTGTCCTCTAATCCTTCATTACATAATGAAGCCTCAGTGCCTTCTGCTAGTGTTCCAGGTACACTGGCTTTTAGTGACAGCATAGTTGAGGGAACATGTGGTTTCTGACTTTATGTTATATATATCATGAATTCAAATGTGTTATGGTTTAATTTGAATTTGGAATTGAAAATATATTTTAGTATTTGAGCTAGAATTAAAAAAAATTTTAAACAGAAGGAAAAGTCACCAAATTCTTATATTTTATCTTCTCAAGGAAATTAAATGACAATATTCTCATGGTAACAATTTGATTGTGGATTGTGTTCCATCATGAGTAATACATTAATTTAGTTATTGCACTTAGTGTTATAGTTAACATTTAACTCCACGGTAATGTATTCACCTGTTATTTCATTAGCCACCATAAAGAGGTTTAAAGGAAATAGAAAAACACGCTTTTGCTTGCACTGTAATGAGAATTGTGGATTGACGGAAGCTGAATCAGAGTCAGTTTTTTGAGGTTTTTCTGAAGCAAGGCAAGGAGAAGTTTGTATAGAAGGATGAAGATAAGGGAGGGAAGTGACATTGTTAACAAGCTTAGACAGCCATACCTGAAGTGGGAATTTTCAGGTTGCATGTGAGAGGCGATAACAGAGACTTGACAGCAGGGAGGGGTCACACTGAGGAGAGGGTTTGCTGTGAGAGGCATGTTTCTGACACCATGGTTTTTTGTTGTTGTTGTTGTTGGTTTGTTTTTGAGATGGAATCTCACCTTGTTGCCCAGGCTGGAGTGGCTACTGCAACCTCCACCTCCCGGGTTCAAGTGATTCTCCTGCTTCAGCCTCCCAAGTAGTTGGTATTACAGGAGTCTGCCACCACGCCTGGCTAATTTTTCATATTTTTAGTAGAGATGGTGTTTCGCTATGTTGGCCAGCCTGGTCTTGAACTCCTGACCTCAGGTGATCCACCTGCCTCAGCCTCCCAAAGTGCTGAGATTACAAGCACGAACGAGCCACTGTGCCCAGCCACTCCATGGGTTATTACATTGCAACTTAAGCAAATAAAGGTCAGTAGAAAGGTATCTGCCAGTCTTCATACTCTGAACTCTTGTATTGCTTCAGACTCTTCTTGGAAGATTGCATTCTGCCTGGCTTTTTACTCATCCAAAGGAATCTCAAATTGTCCATTAAATGTCAAAATTCTATTTTTGTCTGTTTCGGGAAAGGAAAACATAACATATTGTGGAGAGGGGGTGATGATGAATCTTTGATGTGAATTTTGATCATGCATGTTCTATGTCATTCTCATCTGCGTGCTACTCAGCCTTTGGATATTGTTGGTTACAGTGTACCAGTCTTGCTGTGAATAGAATGAACAGCATTTGAGAAGCCAGTTAGGGCTCAGGTCTTAGCCATCTTAGCATCTCTACATATTATCCTGGGCATGTTGTGGGACTTGAGTAAGGACTTGTTGGTTTGGTAATTGTATTTGACCAGATAGCAGAACTACTGGCAGCTAGAGTTGTGGTTACGGGTATTAAAAGAAGGGATTCTGACTCCGAGAACTAGAGTAGGGTGATCAGTGAGGAGCTATGAAGAGATGAGGGGTGGAGGGGAATTGAACATGGCATGTACTGCCAATTGATTAACTAAGGTGAAAATTGAGAATCATTGGACTTAGCAACAGGAAAGTCATTCGTGATTACTGTTAAGAATATCCATGGAGAAGAGAAGGCAAAAGGCTTATTTGGAGTGGGCTCAAGAAAAGAGAAGGGCAGTTTGAACATGAGTTTAGACAACTATTTTGAAGGGTTTTAATGTAAAACTATGCTGGTTACTGGAGGAGTGAGATTTTTGCCCCACAGAGGACATTTGGTAATGTCTAGACACGGGATGGTGGGTGCTCCTGGTCTCTAGTTGGTGAAGGCAGAGGATGCTGCCAGACATTTTGCAGTGTGTAGCATAGCTCTCTACAATAAAGAATTATCCAGCCAAAATGTCAGTAGTGTTGAGGTTCAGAAACCCTGGAGTAATAAAGGAGAAAAACAGTATAGTAGCAGGAGGAGGAAAATAAGTGCAAAAGATATTTGTTAGTTTTTAGATGGAAGTTGAGAAAGATCTAGGAAACAAAGAAAAATTGCTGACACTGAGAGGGTGGGGATACTTTTTCATTCTGGGGAACTAAAAAGTTGCTTGAGTACCTTTGAAATGTAATTTTGTTTACACTAGGTTCTAGAGTGAATAATTATTGATTCCTTCAGCAACTTTAAACACCTTAGTCATTTGGACTTCAGTATGTTACAGGATTGTTATGTTGAGTAAATGTTGATTTAAATTTAATTTTTTTCAGGAAACTATGTTGAATTATTTTAATTCTTTATTATTTTTCTTTGTTTTTCCCCAGGAGCCAAAGTGAATGATGTGGTTCCATGGGTATTGGATGTGATTTTAAATAAACATATCATCAGCCCCAACCCACATGTGAGGCAGGCAGCCTGTATCTGGCTCCTTTCCCTTGTGAGGAAGCTAAATACCCACAAAGAAGTGAAGGTGAGCCATGCTGTATGTGGTCAGCCCTTTTGGAAACCACAGTATTATAAGTAGCAAGGAAAGCATATGAGGGTGAAGACCATTAACCAATAGTAAATATTTTGAAATACATTGTACATGAAGGAATGAATGGTATGTATAGACTGGAAGATGATTCTAAACTTGAAGGTATAAAGTCAGAAGTGCTTGAGATGGGGAGTCTCAGTTGGACCAATGGTCAGCTTGCATGTGTTAGACTACCTGTAAGTGGTGCAGCTCCAGGTGATTTGGGCCACCTGTAAAGATGAGAACAAAACAGCAATTGTAACTGGCTTGGATAATAAGACTACAAATTTTGTACATGGTGAGAGCAACCCTCTTATTCTCTCAAAGAGGTAGAGTTTCAGTGTTGTAATGCCTTTTTTCTTCTTTCAGTCTCATCTTAAAGAAATTCAAAGTGCATTTGTTTCAGTTCTATCAGAAAATGATGGTAGGTTGTTGGTAAATATTTGATTTTTAAACTTATTTGAACTTGTATTTTAAATGTTGAAAAACCTGGATTAATGAATGTAAAAGAAAACTTTTTTGAACTATGTGATTAAAACAAATGATCAAACCTTATTTATTAGTAGTAAGGGTAAGCATTATGTTAATGGCTTAATAACCAAAATTTCTAGTTACGAGACAGAAACTTAGGTTCTTATTTATTTATGTATTTATACATTAGAACATGTTCCTTAGTCTGCATTTAAAAATGGAGCTTGAGGCCTTCTTTAACATTAGTGTCTCTCCTAATAGCTTTTTTGTACTTCTGGTTACTTTTCCTCTCCGATTTAAGCTAGGAGAGAGTGAATGTATATGTGTTAAACATTTCACTAGTAGCTTTGTTTTATAACTTGATTTAAACATATGGTCTTGCGTTGACTTTTAAGTTGGGTGTGAGTGTATTGAAATCCTGTGAGGCTGTTTTATCTCTGATGTGTATGACTTTACAGTCTGCGGATAATCTGTCACTGTCCAGTGACACTGTATATAGGTCCATCAGTATTGTCTAGGTTTGTAAACTGAATCTTTTTTTTTTTTTTTTGAAACGGAGTTTCGCTCTTGTTACCCAGGCTGGAGTGCAATGGCGCAATCTCGGCTCACTGCAGCCTCTGCCTCCTGGGTTCAGGCAATTCTCCTGTCTCAGCCTCCTGAGTAGCTGGGACTACAGGCACGCACCACCATGCCCAGCTAATTTTTTGTATTTTTAGTAGAGACGGGGTTTCACCATGTTGACCAGGATGGTCTTGATCTCTCAACCTCGTGATCCACCCGCCTCGGCCTCCCAAAGTGCTGGGATTACAGGCTTGAGCCACCGCACCTGGCCTAAACTGGATCTTCTGTGAATATGGTTCTCATTAATAGTAACTGGTATGGTGCCATGTCCACTGAAATGATTTAGTAGTAATATATTTTTTTTAAATAAAATAGGCAGATTGATTCTGTTTTTGTATCTTTACTTTGATAACATTTTGGGTCCATGTCAACATAACTTTTTAAAAATTTTGATTTCATAGCAAATAGACAATTTTTTTTTAAAGTAATACAATCTTGTCTGCTTTTCTTGTAGAACTTAGCCAAGATGTTGCATCAAAAGGCCTTGGGTTGGTTTATGAACTAGGTAATGAACAAGATCAACAGGAATTGGTTTCTACACTTGTAGAAACACTTATGACGGGCAAAAGGTATGGTGAACTTGAAAATTTTAGATTCAAACCCATAGAGCAAGTCTATACACATAGAACATACAAGAGAAGGAAAATTCAGCTTTCCATTTTTGCGTTTATGAAGGCTTTTCTAAATTGCAAGTCCTTAGTTATTGTGCTGTGAATAGCACGGTTATTCCAGTGTATACTGTTAACTTGAGGAACATGTCACTAGGTCAAGCTTTGAAAGTTTAATGGTCTCAGATAATTAATGTATTGGATTAGAAAAATGCCATAATTACTGTTGGCTAAATCGAAGTTAAGATGCAGAGACGAGGCCGGGCACGGTGGCTCAAGCCTGTAATCCCAGCAGTTTGGGAGGCCGAGGCAGGTATATCACGAGGTCGAGAGATCGAGACCATCCTGGTCAACATGGTGAAACCCTGTCTCTACTAAAAATACTAAAAATTAGCTGGGCATGGTGGCGCGTGCCTGTAATCCCAGCTACTCAGGAGGCTGAGGCAGGAGAATTGCCTGAACCCAGGAGGCGGAGGTTGCGGTGAGCCGAGATCGCGCCATTGCACTCCAGCCTGGGTAACAAGAGCGAAACTCCATCAAAAAAAAAAAAAAAAAAGATGCAGAGACGAAGCTTGCATATCATTCATAGTCTAATCTGTGAAGAGTTTGAGGGGAAATCATCCGTATATGGGGTTGCTGCTTTATGTTGCCTGCCTTGTAGGAAGGATAGTTTTTCATGTTGTCACCTCATTTAGTTCAGTGCACATTATGTGGAATGTCTTTTTCATCTGTTCATTTGTTCATTCTGGATTCATTTTACAAAATTTGCAGCCTGATGGAAAGGACTTTTATATCTTGTACACAGTAAATGCTTGATAGGAAGTTCAGTTTTATCGCTTTGTTAATAAATTGTATTGGCTAATTGAATGTTGGTATGAAAAGCTTTAAGCTTATTGAAATTCTTCTTGTTTTGATTTAGAGTTAAACATGAAGTTTCTGGAGAGACAGTGGTATTCCAAGGGGGAGCTCTTGGCAAAACACCAGATGGGTAAGTATGCTAAATCCATCAATCAGTTATGGTAATAAACATCTTTAAATATGTATATGTATATATATATATATATGCATTTATTAGTCTGGTAAATAGAGCAGTCATGAAGTTGATTTCTGCCCTCTTAGGAAATGTTATCTATTGGTGGAAGAAGAAAACTTATATGGAAAAAAAGGCTCATGTCTTAAATTGAGTGTCGTGGGAAATAAACTGAGATGGAGATTTCTAGGTTGGAAATGTATTGGGTAGTGCCCAGGGGATCACTTTGGGGTGATGAGGAAGCAGGACAGGGCCTATGGCTGGGGGAGGAGCTGAACTGTTGCCATTGCTTCGGTGGATACCGACCTCTGGAGGAGCTCTGAGCTAGCATGGAGCGGCCTCTTGGAGTTGTTCTGCTTTGAGGCATGGAGCCTGGCCCTTTGTGTCCCCTCAGTGACCAGCCATTGGTGGTGGACTGCTGCTTGGGAGCCCATGATGTTGGGCCCTAAGGGCATTTCTGGGAGACTGACTAGGCCAAGAACTGTCAGCTCTCAGGCAGCTGAGTCCTGGGGGACACCTGGAAGCATAGCCAGGTGCACCCACTGCCCCTAGTTTTTGGGTGAGTGTAATTCTTTATCTTAGATGCCACTACTTTAGCATTTAAAATAAATTGCTTGAAGCCGGGCGCGGTGGCTCAAGCCTGTAATCCCAGCACTTTGGGAGGCCGAGGCGGGTGGATCACGAGGTCATGAGATCGAGACCATCCTGGTCAACATGGTGAAACCCCGTCTCTACTAAAAATACAAAAAATTATCTGGGCATGGTGGCGCGTGCCTGTAATCCCAGCTACTCAGGAGGCTGAGGCAGGAGAATTGCCTGAACCCAGGAGGTGGAGGTTGTGGTGAGCCGAGATCGCGCCATTGCACTCCAGCCTGGGTAACAAGAGCGAAAACTCCGTCTCCAAAAAAAATAAAATAAAATAAAATAAAAAAATAAATTGCTTGAGCTTGACCTCCTTTATTTTACCATGCTTTATTTCTGTGGATCGTTAGGCAAACCTTTGCTGGTTGCAGGGCCTTGCTGTGGTGTCACACATAGCCTGCTTCAGTGTTGTCCGCAACAGGAGAAAGCTACAGTGTGTTCTGTCCTTGACTTTCCCCCACAGTGCACTGCTACCACGTCAAAAGTCGTTTTCATTCTACTTGTTCTCCTTGTAGACTCCTTCTGAGTTTTTAAAAAAGTGCTTACATTTTACGAAATAACATAAAACGGTTAGATATTTAAGCCGATTTTATTTGTTCAGAGGAACGTTAATAAAACTCAAGTTGGATTAGGGTGGTCTAGTTTAGAAAAGACAGGGAAGACAGATACTGTCTTCGAATGACTTTCTTATGATTATTTGAAATTATGTGTAACGTAATGAAGAATTACTGAGTTGCATCCCCAGGTGGTGAGGTCACCACTTCCGTGGACTTACATGTGCATTTAGGTCATTTATCAGCAGCGATGTAGATGGGCTTAGGAATTGCTGTTAGTTGAATTAGCTGACTTTTTATATTCTTCCCAACCTGGCTTTCTGTGTCCATGGTGTTAAGATAACTCAGTATTAGAAATTGAGTGAAAATTTGATTTTAATATGTCCTAGTAATACTGATGTAATTTTTTAGGCTGGAGAGAGAGAAGTATATTACTGCCTACCTCTTTTTCTTTGTTTCCAAGTCAGGGCCTTTCTACTTACAAGGAACTTTGTTCTCTGGCAAGTGATCTTAGCCAGCCAGATCTGGTGTATAAATTTATGAATTTAGCTAACCATCATGCAATGTGGAACTCTAGGAAGGTAAGTTGCTATCACTGGACAATTATTTTTTATTTCCCTGCAAATCAAACATGCTACATTGACAGACAGTGACAAATGATATACAGTGCATTTTGTGAAAGTATGTGCTTGATGAGAAAGCTGAACCCCACAAAGCTACTATTGATTGGAAAGCCCAATAAATCTGCCTGTATTTAGGCATAAGTTTAGGAGGGAGAATTTTTTGCTCTGTTAATATTTTACTGTAATGGGTGCATTTGAGTCACTTCATCCTATTATTATTTTTAGGGTGCTGCTTTTGGTTTTAATGTAATTGCTACCAGAGCTGGAGAGCAGTTGGCTCCTTTTCTGCCTCAGCTAGTTCCTCGACTTTATCGTTACCAGTTTGATCCCAATCTTGGCATTCGACAGGCCATGACAAGTATTTGGAATGCGTTGGTCACTGACAAATCCGTGGTAAGTATCTGTGGACCCTTACGTGTTAGGAAAACAGGTCAAGCATAGGATTTAAACCCAGTGCCCATCTTACTTTCTACTATTTTTATAGTTACTTGTTCAAACCAATAAATTGTCTTTCATTCCATGTTTCTTCCTTCTTTCAAGGCATCAATGACATATATGGCAACATTTATTGAAATCTCCAAAATGGAAACAATATAATTGTCCGCGGGGCAGATGGTTAAGGAAATGATTATATATTCACACAAATGGAATAGTAAATGTGGATAGAGACTATTGATGCAATGGAGAATGGGTCATAATCCCACCTCCAGTGAATTCAGTTAGCTGGGGAGACAGCCAGGGAAGCAGGCAATTGCCATATTGTTTTCTCTCTTGGTGTCCTATCATCTGGCTGGTCAGAATGTTCCATTTAGACACTAAGATTTCTCAGGGCCTATTTCTGAGTATCTTTTGCTCTCTGAGGTTTCTCTATATCAGTCAGTTCCAAGGCATATAAATGTCATCTTTATTGTGAAAGTTCCCAGTCTTACACTTTTGGTCCAGATGTCACATGCACTCTAGATTTGTGTACGTAACTGTCTACTTGAAATTTTCACTTCAGTGTTGTTTCAGAATACCATAAGCCCAGTGTGCCCAGAACAGGACTTAAAAAATAACCTTCCTCCTCTGTTTTCGTTGTTCACCTATTTGTGCAAGCGGGAAAACTTGGTGTCATACTTTATTTTGGTCTGTATCTCACCATCACCCCCAACTGAATCTAGTAGCAAATTCTGTTGTTTCTGCTTCCAAAGTATTCCTTGAATCTACTCTCTTCTTTTCTTAATTCTTTCCTGATGAACAGGTCATCATCGTCTTTTCTTTTTTCCTTGTCTTTCTTCATTTAATTATCTACATAGTAGCAAAAAAGATTTTAAAAATGCAAATTAGATTGTGCCATTTTGGGTTAAAATCATTCAGTGGCTTTACAGCTCATTTTAGATAAATTCCATGATCCTTACTGTGTATTACAAATCTCTGCCTATAATGTGGCTCCTTCCTGTCTCTCTTGTCTGGTACTAGGGTGAGTATGTTCCTATTCATGGTGGTACTTGAGGGTTCAGCTTTGAAGGCTCAGTGCGTTCTGCTTGCTCCAGGAGAACATGTTCTACTTCTGGGTCAGCCAAGATCTAACAGGCCATTGGGCTTTGTAGGTCTGAGCTCAGGACACAGGCCTAGGCCCTTGAGATATGAGTGCCATCTCTGTGAGTGAAAGGATTAGGCCGCAGTGTGGGTGAGATCACCCATGGAGAATGCTGAGAGAAGCAGACATAGGAAGACATCAGTTTCTTATTTACCTCTTTGTCTTGGTTTTCTTACATGTAAGTAAGGATAACAAAACCTTTCCTACCTATAAAAGTGGAAAAGCCATAAATTTTGAGAGGGTTAGCATTGGTATAAATCTGAGTCTACCATTATTTTGTCATTATTACCAAGTTGCTAAGTAGAACAGAGGCTAAAAAGTAAAACTCGTATTTCATTCTGAACAATCATGCGCTAGGTACTGGGTAAGGTACTGGGGTTAAAAAGATGAGTGAGACACTGTCCCTCATTAACTGCACTGATGATGAGTGAGATGCTGTCCCTCAGTAACTGCACTGGTGATGAGTGAGACGCTGTCTCTCAATAACTGCACCGATGACGAGTGAGACGCTACCCCTCAATAACTGCACCGATGATGACTGAGATGCTATCCCTTGATAACTGCACTGTCCTGAACAATAATTGCATTCGACCCCCTTGAGGGTATCCATATAGTGGAACACTGCAGTTACTGTACGGTCTTGTGTGATGCACCTTCAGAAAGTGCTACGGGAACAGAGAGGAGGTTACTCAGGCCAGGCTTCTCTGGAAAAGAATGACTAATACGAACCTTGAGGGACAAGTTGGAGTTAGCCAAGCAAGTAGGACCTGGGAAGGGTATTGTAGGTAGAAGTGGTATGTGCCAAGGAAAGAAAGTGAGACAGAATATGATACTTTTGGGGCTGGACAAGTCATGAAAGGCTTTGTGTGCATGCCCAGGTGATTGGACTTCATTCTCATGTACTGAGGAAAATAAGAGCATCAAATGTACATTTTAGAATGATCACCTGACAGCTTTTAGCAACCAAAGTGGGGAGCGATTTGTGGGCTGAGTGGCCTAGAGAGACATGGAGGCTGTAAAATACAGAAACAGGGTCAGTGTGGTTAACCAGTTTGGTTAAGAGTTGAATAATTTGATTATTGATGGATTTTGCATTTTAAATTTTATCCTTTTGCTTTCATTAGGTGGATAAATATTTGAAAGAAATTCTTCAAGATTTGGTTAAGAACCTTACAAGCAATATGTGGCGAGTTCGAGAATCCAGGTACCATTTTTAGGAATATAAGTTTAGTCAAATAAAACTGATTTTTTTTTTTCCTTTCAAAATTTCCAGGTTTTATACTTTGTGCAAAAGGACTAAAAAACTGCTAAAAAGCTGGCCGAGTGTGGTGGCTCACACCTGTAATCCCAGCACTTTGGGAGGCTGAGGTGGGTGGATCACCTGAGATCAGGAGTTCAGGACCAGCCTGGGCAACATGGTGAAACCCCATCTCTACTAAAAATACAAAAATCAGGTGGGCACAGTGGCATGTGCCTGTATTCCCAGCTACTCGGGAGGCTGAGGCAGGAGACTCACTTGAACCCAGGGGCAGAGATTGCAGTGAACCGAGATTGCACCACTGCACTCCCTCCTGGGCAACAGAGTGAGACTCTGACTCAAAACAAAACAAGAAAAAAACAAAACAACAACAACAAAACTATTAAAAAGCATGATTTCTGGTTGGCTACATTCGATAGTTATTTTTCTTTAACTATTTAAGCTTTGGTCAATGATTTTCCTAAATTGTCATAGTTCATATAAGTATGAAATCAAATAAGGTGAAGATTACCCATTAAATTGGTAGACACCAGGATATATTTTTGTATGGTCATGACTTTATAGTGTAGCATTTCTGTATACAGATTACATTCATTCAGTGCCCACTGTATACTTGGCAATGTGCTAGGCCCTGGGGGCACAATGTTGAATAAAACTGATATGTCATCTCAAAGGGATTGTATTATAGTTGTGGGAAACAAACATTTTATAATTGTAAATGCCATGTATATATATATATATATGGCATATTTGAGGGACCCACAGAGAAGTCAAGCTGTTTTGGGGTAAGGGGATGAAAACTTGAATCAGAGGCAGAATCTGTATTCTTTTTTAGTATAAATGTTTCATAGTAAAATATTGACTTTCTTCATCATATATTGAAATCAAATTTTAATTTTCAGCTGTTTAGCTTTGAATGATTTATTGAGAGGAAGACCCTTAGATGACATCATTGATAAACTTCCAGAAATTTGGGAAACGCTTTTTAGAGTACAAGATGATATCAAGGTATTATAGAAATAAATCAGCATTTATATATACAAAAAGTTAAATTGGAATTATTAAAATATTTGTTGTATATGTCAGAATTCCATCTCCAGATAATTTTAAGAGACCAACATTTTCCCCCAAAGTTTCAGTCTTAATGTGTCTGTGAAATTGTAAGGTTGGGTATCCTTAGATCTAAATTAAGTGGATTTAGGGAAAAAAAGGTGGTCTATATACCCGCTATCAATAGAGATCTCATGATTCCATTGAATTAGGGACAAATAACAGTTTTGAACATAGTAATGGTATTTTGATGAGTTCTGTAAATGGGATTAATTATTCCCAAATAATGTGACCAATTCCCCTGGATTTTTCTTGAGCAATCTTAATTTTAGGTATTTTGATATTTTACCATTGAAATTAGGCACTTCAATTTTACCTTTCTTTTTGCTTTATTTATTGGAGACTTTTAAGTGTTTCAGAATTCTCACATAGATCTTTATATATTCACTTTTTTAAATTACATTTAGTTTCTGATCTGTTTAATAGCTAATTTTTTTAAGGTCCAAATAGGTTACAATTAATGTTTAAAAATTAATAGTATGGCATGGTAATGTGTTCCTTGATGGCAAAGAGTCTAATAAGATACTTATTTTTTTAACCTGATATGATATGTAGGATTTTCCACCAGTCTCTATAGGGTCTGAGGCAATTAAACTGCAAATTGTAGAGTAAATGACAGTGAGACTCTCTAATTTGTATTATGTCACACTTTTGTCATTTTTAGGAATCTGTACGAAAAGCAGCAGAACTAGCTCTGAAAACTCTGAGCAAGGTAAAAACTCCTATCTTACATTGGGAATGGAGTGGGACAGGGTTCTGGGTGACCATGACAATAATGATTTATAGGAAATGACATTTAGTTGCAGTATAATTGGCTTCATGGTGTAGTTCACTACTCTTAAAGTGAATGAGAAAGTGAGTGCTATAAACACTGCAGTGCTAGTATGTTGAACAGAGTATGCTTGTGGTCTCTTTAAATGGTGAACTGAAGATAAAACTTTGACTTGACCCTGAAGAGCACATCACTCCATTAGATCAAGCAACACCTGTCTTTTCTCTTGCTTTTGCTATGTTTATATATAAATCTACCTTTCATATCTGTGAGGTTGGAGAGCTTTTTGAAACTGAATTATCTCCCACTTGAACTTGATTTTGTGATATATCAGGAACTTTTTCAATCTAGTTACACAGACCTTGCTATAGGTCACGTTGTTAATAAGTAGTAAAACCAGGTTTTAAGTAGAGGTGTTTTCTTGTATAATATGTGATCTTGACCACTATATTGTGCTGTCACCCAATGTTATTGATGATGGTGGTGATGATGATAACACTTTAAACCTTTATTTAATTTTTTATTTTCATTATTTTTGAGACAGGGTCTCACTCTGTCACCCAGGCTGGAATGTAGTGGTGTGATCACAACACACTGCAGTCTTGACCTCCCAGGTTCAGATGATCCCCCTACCTCAACCTCCTGGAGATCTGGGACCACAGGCATATGCCACCATGCCTGGCTAATTTTTTGTATTTTTTTTGTAGAGACAGAGTCTCTTCATGTTGCCTAGGCTGTTCTCAAACTCCAGGGCTCAAGTGATCGACCTGCCTCGGCCTCCCAAAGTGCTAGGATTACAGGCATGAGCCATTGCACACAGCCCTAAACCTTTTTAAAAGTGTTTTCTTACATTTAGTCTCATTTCATCAACATCTATTTTGTTCTGTATTTCACAAATTGGGGGACCAATGCGTAGAGGGTGAAATGCATTACCGTATTTTCTGTTTAGTTCTTGGCACACCTAGGACTCAATCTCATATCTCAGTCCTCCGTCTCTCTATAGTATAATAGAAAGTAGATTCACTTATTCTTTTCATGGATATATGAAGTGGAAAGTCTTGCCAGATGAATGCTTTATTAGATGAGCAGTCACTTTCACTAACATCCATGCTCTTTGTATGTGAGGTCTGTGTCAAAATGTGTGACCCTGCCAAAGGAGCAGCTGGCCAGAGGACCATCGCTGCCCTTCTGCCTTGCCTTCTGGACAAAGGAATGATGAGTCCCGTGACAGAAGTTCGAGCCCTCAGGTGTGCATCAGTTGATGAAATGGATGTGTTGGATTTGCTCAGTTCCTAGAAATTGTGTTTCTTTCAAGGTTAGATTCTTGAAAATATAGAGAAGGGTTTAGGAGAATGACTTTTGGGTCATTTGCGAAAACTTGAGAGTCAGAATATTTTTGCAGAAACATTCTCATGAGACCTTGTTTTTGCCCAGCATTCTAAGTCAAGCATGTTGTTCTATTGTCATCAGACTCTGCTCCTGACAAACATATCTTCCTGTTACACTGCAGGTGCTCAGGAGCTTGCTTGTTCGTTATAATACTTAGTAGTATTTCACAGATTATTAGATTTAAGATAAGCTGTTTACCACCTGCAAGGATGAAATTTTTTTTTTTTTTGAGACAGAGTTTCACTCTTGTTACCCAGGCTGGAGTGCAATGGCACAATCTCGGCTCACTTCAACCTCCGCCTCCTGGGTTTAAGCAATTTTCCTGCCTAAGCCTCCCGAGTAGCTGGGACTACAAGTGTGTGCCACCATGCCCAGCTAATTTTTTTTGTATTTTTGTTAGAGATGGGGTTTCACCATGTTGACCAGGATGGTCTCGATCTCTTGACCTCGTGATCCACCTGCCTCGGCCTCCCAAAGTGCTGGGATTATAGGCGTGAGCCACCGTGCCCATATTTTTTTAAAAATGTACTTACACTTTTAGATATAATATATGGCTACTTTAAGTTAAAATCAATAGTATAGGATTCTAGTTTGTGAGTTTTATTTGTTTTTAAACTACAGTGCTGTCTAAGAACTTCATCTGTTCCATTTTTATTTCACTCTTAAAAGTAGAACAAATTATTAATAATAGTTCCAGCAGTATTTCATGGCAAGTAGGTAGTTTATAAGAGAAAGTTCTTTTTAGAAGGACTCACCTAACAAATGCAAAAGCATGATGCGATTAAGACCATCACTTTTTGCTCTCCTCATTAAATAATCTGAGTAGTGATCTTTAGATGCCCCTAAATCCACTGAGTGAAAGGCTGATGAGAACGTTTGATTTAGGGCAACCAGACCTGAATCTACCAATCACTCCTCACAGCACAGAAAGACAAAAAGTGCATCATGATGTGATGGAATAGGAGGAATAGGACACATACAGCATTGCCTAGGAAGGATTCTTTTTGTTTGTTGTTAATTGAACGTGAACTCAATTTAGCCTGTACAGACAGGGGAAAGAGGAACTTGTTTTATTTTTTATTATACTTCAAGTTCTGGTGTACATGTGCAGAGTGTGCAGGATTGTTACATAGGTATACGCATGCCATGGTGGTTTGCTGCATCCATCCCCCATCATCTACATTAGGTGTTTCTCCTAGTGTTATCCCTCCCCAATCCCACCACCCCCTGTTATCCCTCCCCTAACCCCTCCACCCCAACAACAGGCCCTGGTGTGTGATGAGAGGAACATGTGAAATGACATGATTGGAATACAGTCAGTGAGGAAAAATAAGAACAAAAGAGGAGAGTGGAGACTGTTAAAAAAAAAAAAGGATTTAAGAAATGCAGTAGATTGCAATGCATGAGTGAACTTGGATCCTGATTCAAACAAACCGTTTTAAGAAGCTGATGAAACAGAAATTTGGATATTTGATATGAAAAAATTATTCATATTTTTAAAGTGTGAAAATGGTATTATGATTATGATGAACAGCCTTTGTATCTTAGAGAGTCATACTGCAGTTTAGTTAAGGGATATGCTTTCAAGTGCAGTCACATGTCACTTAGCGACAAGGATATATTCTGTGAAATGTGTCGTTAGGTGATTTCATGGGTGTGCAAACATTACATGAAGTTGGAAAGATGGTGCAGTCAGATTGCTTCATGCAGGGTTGCCACAGGTCTGCTCACTTCATGTCTCTATGTCACATTTTGGTATTCTCACAGTATTTCATACTTTGCATTATTATTGTATCTGTTGTGGTGATACCTTTGTGATTCTTTTGGAGTTGTATGAACTGCACCCATTTAAATTGGTGAACTTAATTGATCAGTGTTGTGTGTGTTCTCATTGCTCCACTGAACAGCTGTTCCCCATCTGTCTCCCTCTTCTCAAGTGTCTTATTCCCTGAGACACAACAATATTGAAATCAGGCTAATTAACCCCACAATGCCCTCTCACTGTCTAAGTGAAGAGAACAGTTGCCTGTCTCTCACTTTAAATAGAAAACTAGAAATGATTAAGCTTAGTGAGGAAGGAATATTGAAAGTTGAGATAGGCTGAAAGCTAGGCCTCTTGTGGCGAGCGACCAAGTTGTGAATGTAAAGGAAATGTTCTTAAAGGAAGTTTAAAGTGCTATACCAGTCAACACACAAATGATAAGAAAGTAAAACAGCCTTTTGCTAACAGAAAGTTTGAATGTTCTGGATAGAAGATCAGATCAGCCGCAAAGTTCCATTTAGCCAAACCTTTCAGAGCAAGACCTTAACTCTCTTCAATTCTGTGAAGGCTAAGAGAAGTAGAGAAGCTGCAGAAGGAAAGTTGGAAGCTAGCAGAGGTTAGCTCATAAGGTTTAAGGAAGGAAGCTGTCTCAGTAACATAAAGGTGCAAGCAGTTGCTGATACAGAAGCTGTAGCAGGTTATCCAGAAGATCTAACTCAGGTCACTGATAAAGATGTCTACACTCAACAACAGATTTTCAATGGAGATGAAACAGCCTTCTGTTGGCAAAAGATACCATGTAGGATTTTTATAGCTACAGAGAAGTCAGTGCCTGGCTGCAGTGCTTCAAAGGCCAGACTGACTGCTTTGTTAGGGGCTAATGCAGGTGGTGACTTTAAATTGAAGCCAGTGCTTATTTACACATCTGAAAATCCTGAAGCCTTAGAATTCTGCTAAATCTGCTCTGTGCTCTAGAAATGGAACAACAAAGTCTGGATGACAGCCTGTCTGTTACAGCATGATTTACTATTTTAAGCCCTCTGTTGAGGCCTACTGCTCAAACAAACAAAAACAACCAAGATTCCTTTCAAAGTATTACTGCTCATTGACAATATGCCTGGTCACCCAAGAGTTCTGATAGAGAGATACAAGGAAATGAATGCTGTTTTCATGCCTATTAACGTAACACAGTATCCATTCTGAAGCCCATGGATCAAGGAGTAATTTCATGACTGCTATAAATTCAAGTCTTACTATTCAAGAAGTGTATTTTGTAAGGCTAGAGCTGCAATTGATAGTGATTCCTTTGATGGATCTGGGCAAAGCAAATTGTAAACATTCTGGAAAGGGTTCACCATTGTAGGTGCCATTAGAACACTCATCATTCATGAGAGGTCAAAACGTCATCATTAATAGGAGTTCGGCGAAGTTTATTCCAACTTTTATGGATGACTTTGAGGAGCTCAGGATGTCAGTGGAGGAAGTCACTGCATATGTGGTGGAAATAGCAAGAGAATTAGAAGTGGGGCCTGAAGACATGACTGAATTGTTGCAATCTCATGATAAAACCTGAACAGAAGAGGAATTGCTTCTTAGCGATGAGCAAAGAAAAGTGGTTTCTTGAGATGGAAGCTACTCCTGGTGAAGATTCTGTGAACATTGTTAAAATGACCACAAAGGCTTTAGAATATTTCATAAACTTAGTTGATAAAGCAGCAACAGTATTGGAGAGGATTGACTCCAACTTTGAAAGATGTTCTAATGTGGGTAAAATGCTATCAAGCCACATCCTTTGCTACAAAGAAATCTTTTGTGAAAGGAGGAGTTCATTGATGCAGCAAACTTCATTGTTGACTTATTTTAAGAAATTGCTATAGCCACCCCAGCATTCACCAAACACCACCCTGATCAGTCAGTAGCCATCACCATTGAGGTAAGACCCTCCACCAGCAAAAAAACAATGACTTGCTGAAAGCTGAGATGATCAGTAGCATTAAGATATTTTAAAATTAAGTAGTGTACTTTATTTTAGACATAATGCTATTACACTCTTAATAGATTACAATATAGTGTAAACAAAACTTTTGTATACACTGGTAAACCAGAAAATTTATGTGGCTTGCTTTGTTGTGGTGGTTTGGAACAGAACCTGCAGTATCTCTAAGATATTCCCGTATGATCTTATGCGACCACTGTTGGACATGATGGTCTGTTGTTACTGACTGAAATGTGTCATGCGTCACATGACTAATACAGTGGCAGAGAGAATAGTGGCTGTATATGGAGGAGGAGGTATAAATGAAACAAAATTGGTCAAATGTTGCTAATTGTTGAACTGGGTGGAGCATATATGGCATTTAATGCCTACTATAAATTTCTACTGTAAAATTTCACTAGAAATATAAATTTCTACTATAAATAAATACATGGAATTTTATTCCTACTATTAATGAAATAGGCTTTTCCTAGTTCATTATAGTTCTTTCTACCTCTATACATGCTTGAAAGTTTCTTTAATAAAAGTTAAAAAAAATTATGCCAAGACCAGGCTCTGTAAGCATGTGAGAATATGCTTTAATGCGGTAAACTCTACAACATCCCCACGGTTAGATTTGTAGGTCTTCTTACTTTTGTTAAAAGGATTCAGGAGTTGTGTTCCATATGCTTGTAGCATCAACACCCTTGTGAAGATCAGCAAAAGTGCAGGAGCCATGTTGAAACCACATGCACCAAAACTCATTCCAGCTCTGCTAGAGTCCTTAAGTGTATTGGAGCCCCAAGTTCTCAATTATTTGAGCCTCCGGGCGACAGAGCAAGAAAAGGTGAGTTGATAGCACAGGCATGTTGGTAAGTATCATGAGGGAAGAGCCCTGTTGATGTACTGAGGTTCATTTGAATGATACTTTTCACTACTCTATAAGAACTCACCCCCTCCAACCACATGCCGTACTTTACTGTTTCTTGGTGAGAAGTTGTCAGCTCATACACTATTTTGTGAATTGGATGAAAACTGACACTTCCATCTAAAAAATGAATTAACATTTGTTTAACATAGTTTTTTGTACATTTCAATTTTTGTAGGGATTCGATCTATACCTTCACAGCCCTTCCATGGACTCCCCTGCCCTATAAGCAAAGAATATTGCACCTAAATTTTGGCATATCTCAAAGTTGTTCTGCTTTTTAGGTATAATGTAGTCACCTAGTTTCTGATGAGAGTCATTTTTTAAAAACTTCAGATGAAACATATTGTGAAAAATTAATACAGAATGATAGAAAGTAATCCCATAGAAGGTCTTCCCATTACCATAGTATCATTCCCTGAGGAGTACCTGCTATCAAAAGTGCCCTGTGCCTTCTCTAAAATTCCTTTTTAGTCATAGGCTACCAAACCAAACAAACATACAAATTTAAAAATAGTATCAGACTGTGAATGTTGTTTTGTGATTTGCTTTTTACATTTACAGTATATCATGTCTATATATACACTTACTCGTTTTAATGTATGCATAGTGTTTTACAGTGAGATGATTCTGAATTTTTGATGGAGAGGTTTTGCAGCATCTAAGTTTTTAAGTGTTCTTTTTTCTCCATACCTTTGGCACTGTTGAATAATGTATATCTGATAACAAGAATCTTATTTTTCTAATTTGCACTTTCTTTTCCTAACATTGTCCATTGCTTTTTCATATTGTATTATTTGTTTGTATTTCTTCTGTGATTGTGTTTATATTCCATGCCTATTTTTCTATTTGACTGTTTTTTTTTTCAATTTATATTTTTAAATTAGAACTATTAACCCCCCTGTCATATATAACATTTCTTCTCTGTTCAGTTTGATCTTTAACTTGCCTAAACTTCTCTAATAACGTACTCTCTTTACCCCTTGCCTCTAATATTGCTGTTTCTTCTTCGTTCATTATTTTTCCCTCTGTCAACAGTAGACTTGCCCTTCTCTGATGCCCATAGGATGTTTACTAAGAGTTGAGAATTTGGAAACATAAATCCTAGTCTAAACTTTGCAGCCCTAGGCAAGTCACTTGTGTATGCCTTACTTTTCTCCTTTATCATATCTGGATAGTGTGAACCTCTCCTTCAGCACAGTTGGATTAAAATACCTTTGTAGATACGAAGATTGATTACGAAGTTAAATAACTACACATAGAAAATTTTCTACTGTTTTTCAATTTTAAAAACCTTAGAAATTAGTCAATTCCTTTATTTAGGGGATGGAGAACCTCAGGCTCAGGAAGGCTGGATGACTTGCCCAGAGCCATACGATGCTAACGTTTTAACTATTATCTGAATTTCTCACCTGTAGTGAGGTGCTGTTTCTCCTGTAAATTGTTGAGTATAGGTCAAAAGAAATTAGAGTTAGACTTATGTTTGCCTTTGTTACAGCTACAGATTATTTTTTTAAAGTTCTTTAGTCTGGAAGTGAAAGTCTTTTATGGGTGTTTGTGTGGATTATTCCTAATTAACTGAATGTGCCGAGTGACTTGAATTTCTGTTCTTCAGGCTGCGATGGATAGTGCTCGGCTGAGTGCTGCCAAATCCTCTCCGATGATGGAAACAATCAACATGGTGAGTGTCTAAATAATAACGAGAGGGTTTGTTTGCCTGCTTGCAAGTATAATTCTTCAAAGTCTTCAGGCTACATTAAATGAAGTAGAGACTTATGGGATGAGTCAAGCAGCTGTTGTGACTCCAGTTTCTTCTTAGTATAGTTCTCTTTTCTTCTCTGTTACTAAGTGGAATAAATAACTTCCCAAATACCAGAATCGGCTAGTTCAAATTTGTATTACAAGGGGCAACAACATATTAAGAGCTCTCTTTAAATTTACATCTGTAGTCTTTTGATCTGCCGATTTAGAAAGGTTAAGAGTAGTGCCTCTGTGTAATCGTTATCTTTGGGAGGAACTAGGAAGGTTATAAGCTGGAAATATTTAATGAGTAGGTAACATAATGGTAAGTGAAGAGATTGGGCAATGTTGATATGTTTTAATAATAGGAAGGAATTTGCAGTAAATAGCTGCTTGGCACTCTGAGGTTCTGATTGATTTCTTTCTTTTTTTTTTTTTTTTAAGTTAAATACAGTTTATTAAAAAAAAAAACCCCATTCACAGAATGGAATTTGAGTTGCAGAACAGCTCATGTTAACTGCATGGCAGTGATAATGAAGTACAGTGGCGCAGATAAAGGTCCTCACAAGGAGGTTCCTTTCTGCCATCAACTTGGACAGATGGGTTCCGATTTCTTTCTTTCTTTCTTTTTTTTTTTTTTTTTTTGGGGAGACGGAGTCTTGCTCTGGGAGTCTTACTTTGTCTCCAGGCTGGAGTGCAGTGGTGTGATCTTGGCTCACTGCAACCTCTTCCTCCCGGGTTCAAGTGATTTTCCTGCTTCAGTCTCCTAAGTAGCGGGGACTACAGGCTTGCGTTACCACGCCCAGCTAATTTTTGTATTTTTTAGTAGAGATGGGGTTTCACCATGCTGGCCAGATGGTCTTGATCGCTTGACCTTGTGATCTGCCTGCCTTGGCCTTCCAAAGTGCTGGGATTACAGGTGTGAGCCACCACACCTGGCCCTGAGGTTCTGGTTTCTAAAGTTCCTGCAGTCTTGGTAAAGTTACTCTGCTAGGCATTCCCTTCAGTGGTTAGTCAGCTATGATTGTAAACTACTGGAAATTAATTTGCTCAGCAGATCTGTATCTTTAGCAGGACTCTGAAGGTATAGATCCAATCCCTAAAAAAATCGAAATGTACCAAAAACTATGATAAATTAGACAAAAGAAGTAGCTATTTTTTAGTACCCGCTGGAGGACTGTTACCAAAACTTGGTCTAAGAATGTTATATCTTAGTTGGATTATTGGGGGGAAATAAAAATTTAAAGAAATAGGAACAGTTAGTGAATACCATTTAGATATATTCATTAGTAATAGAAAACATGTTATTGCATTTTCAAAAACAAAGGCCAGCAATTTATAGGAAAAATCATCTAAGAAATTTACTTATTACAGGGGTTTGGTAGGGTAGGCCCACTGAAGAGATCAATTTTTAGTTTGGGATTTTTATGCTAAACATGGACTGATAAAGAGGAAGTAGGCCCAGAAAGATTTTTATTCTTGGGTATTCATTGTTTATTTTCTTTTTTAGCAAATTGATGTTTTTAATTTTTATGGTCTGTTTTTAGTGTTGAACCACTGATGAATAATTTTTTCTGTTCGTAGTACAATGGTGGTTTTGATAATGAAATCAGAGCAGAATCAAACAGTGATTTTTCAACTTCATGTCAAATCCAGTGGGCACATGTTTGACAAGGGCAGTTTTTAATTAAAGATGTGGTCCTGACTTAATTATTTGCCAAAGCTTACCTTTATATTTATTCTTTTTCAAAAGTGCCTGCAATATCTTGATGTGTCGGTCCTGGGCGAGCTAGTTCCTAGGTTGTGTGAACTGATCAGAAGTGGTGTAGGTCTTGGAACTAAGGTAGGTATACTTTTCTCAAGAGTATGTGTGTATCTTCATTAGTTTTGGCCGTAAAGATACAAGAACCATCATGTTTGAAATTTATGTTTTACCATAAAAGCTAATATTATTGTACACAAACCGTTTTGTTTTTGTGGTTGCACTGATAACTGAAAACATGTAACTGGTTCAAGAAATAAAACATATAACTGTTCAGTAAGTATTGCGTTAACTTATTTAGTGGAATCATTTCTGTTCTCTGGTTGCCATGCACATGCGTTCTGGGTTGTCATTCATTAGCAGTTCATGGAAATGCACATTCGGTTATTAGGGCCTGGATTGTTTTAGGTGGCAGTTGCATTTTTCACAGAGGTATCAGCATGTTTGAATAGAAAAATGTCTTAGTTTTCAAGATGTTTGAAGGATCAGACGCCACTACCCCTTTAACAACAAATTAATAACTAACATTTTTTCTTATGACAAAATTAACACTTTTGCTGGTATTTTAAAATTTTAGCATTTATAGATCAGGAGAAAGTTAAAAATTTTCTAGAATTTTGCCATGCAGAGATAACTGCTGTTAATATTTTGGAGTGTTTCCTTCCAGTCTTTTCTGCACATGTATCTTCTGCAGTGTTCTCTTCCAATGGCCGTATGATACTCCATTGTATGGATGTAACATAATTTATTTTACTCCATCAAAGAACACCTGACTTATTTTCAGTTTTTGAAAAAATATTAAAGCATATCTGAAGATATTTGGTTAAATTTCTAGAAATAGAAATGTTAGCACAATGATGAACGAGATGATGTATTTTGCTTTTCCAGAAGACAAGCAATTTTCTTTCTTTTTCACAATGTCTGAGATCACCCATCTTTCTCTTGGAGGTTTAGAAAAACATCTCTGCATCCCTAGTTTAAGAGTTTTCCTTTTTCTATATTGAATCCTGGAGGAGGTATTAGGCTTCATGTGTTTTATATCTTTAAGTTTTTGGCACCTAAGCCAATGGTTTGGTGGGTAGAACATTGTGACCATCAGTTATAGACCTTTGCTTTTGTAACCCTATAGGGCGGCTGTGCCAATGTCATTGTGTCATTAACTACTCAGTGTCCTCAGGACCTAACACCTTACTCAGGTGAGTTTGTCAACTGATGTGTGGTGATATTTTTGCATGTCCCTGTCTTGTGTGATAGAGTTTTAAAAAGGGAAAAATAATTATTCAGACGTGCTTGTGATGCTGTGTGCTTTTTCTTCCCTCAGTCCCCTGATCCCCTCATTTCTTTGTCTACATGAGGTGGAGGGTTTATCAGGTTTAGCAACTTTTCACTGTTCATAAACATTTGATTATTTTTTAGTGGTATAAGGAGGCAAAAGTATCCTCTATTCCAGAGGACTTACTTACCATTGATAGCTGATTTTATGTCAGCATTTTTCTCTTCTTAGATTGGCTTCTGCACAGGACTAATGTTCTTTATATACCTGGCTCTCATTTTTGCAACATTTTCCATGATATTCTAGACACAGTTTAATTTTAACTTGCATCAGGTGAAAGGAAGCAAATGGATATATAAATAAAACGTTCAGAGATCTAAACTGTGGAGTAAATCAGATGTTAATTACAGGGTTAGGTTTGTTTGGTTCTGGGAACACAGTGGAACATTTGGTAAACCAAGTATCAGATTTTCTCCTCTTTATTTTTGGTAGGTAAACTTATGAGTGCTTTGCTTAGTGGCCTGACAGATCGGAACAGTGTGATTCAGAAGTCCTGTGCATTTGCCATGGGCCATTTAGTTCGGGTGAGTTGTTTCTTGCTTAGTTAAATAAAACTCTTTGAGTTAATAAACTTAAATAAAACAGTTATAAAGAAATACCTAGGATTGTTTCTTTTTCAGACCTCACGGGATAGCAGCACTGAAAAACTTCTGCAGAAGCTCAGTGGCTGGTATATGGAGAAAGAAGGTACCTTTTTTTTTCTATTTTATGTCATTTTAAGTTTAGATGTTAACAGCCCACTAAAACAGTACAAATTGGGTCTTACACTCCATGATTTTACGTGCTTTGCTAGAAACATTTGTTTCTTTTCTTTTCTTTTCTTTTTTTTTTTCTCCGGAGACAGTGTCTGGCTGTGTCGCCAAGGCTGGAGTGCAGCAGTGCTCTTTCGGCTCACTGCATTCTCAACCTCCTGGGCTCAAGTGATTCTTGTGCCTCAGCCTCCTGAGTGGCTGAGACTACAGGCACGTGCCACCATGCCTGGCTAATCTTTGTATTTTTTTGTAAAGGGTTTCACCATGTTGCCCAGGCTGGCCTCAAACTCCTGAGCTCAAGCTATCTGCCCACCTTGTCCTCTCAAAGTGCTGGGATTACAGCTGTAAGCCACCACACCCAGCCTTCTGGAAACATTTCTAATTGATTTTACCTGTTTGCTTTTTGTTTTGCTGTTACAGGAGTTGAACAATAGCCTGTTTATTTCAGTTACCCTTAAAAACAATAAATATCATAAAGATTTTGGTTTCTCCTTTTCAGAACCTATCTACAAGACCTCTTGTGCTTTGACTATTCATGCTATTGGACGATACAGCCCTGATGTATTAAAGAATCATGCAAAAGAAGTCCTGCCTCTGGCATTTTTAGGCATGCATGAAATTGCTGATGAGGAGAAATCTGAAAAAGAAGAATGTAACTTATGGACTGAAGTGTGGCAGGAAAATGTACCTGGTTAGTAGTGGTGCCTGAGTTAAACCTGCTTCTTAGGAATCACAGCTGTATCACAATAAATGTCAATGCATTTACTTGGATTCCTTATTCATAAACTCCTCTAAAGTTACTTTCACAGGACCTTAACAACATGCATTCCATTTAGTTTTAAATTCATCCAAATTACTGAGTTCTAAAGGTTGGCACTCAGGATTTTTGTCTTTACTCATTTATCACTGCCCACATGAGAGAATATAAACTCTGTGAGCAAGGAGAGCTTTACATTTTTAATTGAGAGTGTGAATTTATGTGGCCTTAGAATATTATTTTTGAGTCATTTTCTAAATGTGTTTTTCACCTTGACACATATTAATGGATGATGCCCATTTGTGTGATAACCTTTTGTGGGCACTGAAGTTCAAAGTTCTACTATTGTGAGAATAAGTCATACCACCAACCCACTTTCTCTCCCTTTGAGAGAGTGATGTATTTTAACAGTAGAGAATCACTGCTTTTAGACTATTGGTCACTGACATTTTTTCAGACTTAGAAAAATCAGTTAATTTTTCTTGTCACTTAAAAGTTGTTTTAATTTTCCTTTTTATAACCCAGGTTCTTTTGGTGGCATTCGATTATACCTGCAGGAGTTGATTACTATTACCCAGAAGGCTTTACAGTCTCAATCCTGGAAAATGAAGGCCCAGGGTGCAGTTGCCATGGCATCAATTGCAAAACAGACTAGCTCTCTAGTACCTCCATATCTGGGAATGATACTTACTGCATTGCTGCAGGGCCTGGCTGGAAGAACATGGGCAGGCAAGGTAAAGGAACCGTTCATGCTCAGTTAAAGGAATTCTGACTTCATCTTTCATTTTCCATAATAAGAATCTGATTATGTGTAACTTCTGATGGATTATTATTATTATTATTATTTTTGAGACGGAGTTTCGCTCTTGTTACCCAGGCTGGAGTGCAATGGCGCGATCTCGGCTCGCCGCAACCTCCGCCTCCTGGGTTCAGGCAATTCTCCTGCCTCAGCCTCCTGAGTAGCTGGGATTACAGGCACGTGCCACCATGCCCAGCTAATTTTTTGTATTTTTAGTAGAGACGGGGTTTCACCATGTTGACCAGGATGGTCTCGATCTCTTGACCTCGTGATCCACCTGCCTCGGCCTCCCAAAGTGCTGGGATTACAGGCTTGAGCCACCGCGCCTGGCTTGGATTATTTTTATGAACCAGATTTCCTAGGCAGTGGGAAGCTTTGGGTAAACCTTGCCTGACTAACCGTGGTATTTCCTCTCAAACTGTAACCTACATGGCCTTGTATAATGGACAGTAATGCTGGAGATAGAGGCATTTTTCATATTCAGCCTTCCAAGTTATATTTTAAACCAACTTGTCCTCATTTTGTACCTGTTGACCTCATGAACAGATCAGGATTGGGCATATGTGAAATAGAGTAGCAAGGTGGGCTGCTTCTAAACCTGGGGCTGAAGATGCCCATCTCTGGGACCTATGAATTATTAACAGTTATTTTTTTACACAAGGGCTATAGTAGGATTCTTACAGTGAAGACTCAGTGGGAAACATGAGATGTGGCAGCATAATAATCTTTATGTTGTAAAGGTCAATAGTGGCTTATGCAGCACTGAAGTAGTACTGGACGGCGAGTTAGACATCATTCTCGTTCTCTGGTTGACACTGTTATCTGTGAGACCTTGGTCAAATCAGCTCTTTAGGCTTCTATGAAATGGAAATGAAGATAATTATCCTGCATCCATGGTTTCGAGTAAAACTTAGTGAATGTGCTTAAAATTATGCATTAAGGATATGGTGACTTGTTAATTTTTGTTGTCATAGTTATAAGAATTCCTAAGGTAATTGTAATCATAGTGTAGAGAGTATAAACGACATGTTTGGGCCTAATTGTATTCATCTTTCAACCCCATAGGAAGAGCTATTGAAAGCCATTGCCTGTGTGGTGACAGCTTGCAGGTAAATGTCCTTTCAGTGAAGATCCCATTTCTTAAACTGAACCTGAAAGCTGCAGCGTTTATTAACTTCTCATGCTTTTGTGGATCCTGTAGTGCAGAGCTGGAGAAGTCTGTGCCCAATCAACCTAGCACAAATGAAATTCTTCAGGCTGTTCTGAAGGAATGTAGCAAAGAGAATCTCAAATACAAGATTGTAGCAATCAGCTGTGCAGCTGATGTCTTGAAGGCCACCAAAGAAGACAGATTCCAGGAGTTTTCTGACATTGTCATACCTCTCATCAAGAAGGTAATAGCGCCTGTATCCTCAGTTCTGGTTTATACTTTAAAAAGAAAAAGTTAAAAAAGTGTTTTCCCCTATGACCTAATTATTAGGATTAGTTTAGCTGCAAGTAGTAGAGAAATTCCAAAATATGGCCTTCAACAAGATAGACGTTTGTTTCTCACACAGCATTGGGAGCATCACAAAGCATTCAGGTATTCTGGCTCTTTACAGCTCCCAGCTCTGCCATATCTAGGGTGTGATCATCGACCTTATGGTCCACAGTCTGTTTGTGTTCCAGGCAGGAATGCAGAGGAGGTGAAGCAAGGATGAAGGATCACAGTGGACATGCCAGTTCTCTCTTGAGGAGAGTTCCTGGGCACCGCTAGACAGCACTTTCACTTACATTCATCCCGTTGGTCAGTACTTAGCCACACCTGGCAGCAGACTGAGTCTTCATTCTGCCTGTCCATTTGCCTTCCATGGGATAAGGGGAAGGGTGGATTTGGTAGTGAATAAACAGTTTCTGTCATAATCAGCTTTTCCTTGCAAGCATGTACAGAAGTCACCCCCATCCTAAAGACAAGAAGTTCAGTGTGCCATGTGAATTGCCTCTGCCAGATAGTGGAGGATTTGGGTCAAAAAATAACTCAGGTTTCATGTGGAAATGGAATACTCATTTTTAAAATTTGGGCACTGGTCCCCCTGAAAAAGGAGTGTAGTTTACCTATTTATTTGGAAACATGAAATATTTTAAGTAACATTCTTATTTCTTATTGCTGCTATTTGCAGTTGTTTTCTTTCAGTAATAAGGCTATTTAAATAATTTCCATTACAAACATAGTAATAGGATATGGTTTTGGGAGACTTGTGTTTTAAGTTGGTTACGTCACCAGTGAGCTGGACCAGTTGTTTCTCTTAGCCTCTGTTTCCCTATCTATTAAGAAAAGAGTTTGGATTTAGATCATTACTGAGTTTCTTCCATCTTTAATATCTGATTCTAACATAAGTCTTCTTATATTATGCTCAAAAGACTACATATGCAGTATTTTTTAGCTTTTGTTTACAGATTCCTATAAAGTATTTCCTAAATGTATTAGAGATACAGTATTCCGGTTATAAATTCTTATTGTAAATAGGGAAGCTTATGGTAGAGAATTTACCGTTTAACTCTTGGTTAACGTCTCCTGCTCTGGTACCCTGATAGCTTTAATAGTATACCTGTAACTTTGAAGAAGAAAATATTAAATTTTCTCTTTTCTTTGATATATCCTAGAACTCACTTGAAAGCAGTGGAGTCCGGACAACCAAAAATGAAGATGAGAATGAGAAGGAAAAGGAGCTCCAGCTGGAATATCTGCTGGGTGCCTTTGAAAGCCTGGGAAAAGCCTGGCCCCGAAACGCAGAGACCCAACGTAAGCACCAGAAACCACATTTGAAGAAGTGCTGTAACCAGAGGTTACTTAATGAGAGCAAAGATTTTCTGTATGACAAGTTACAGTTGTTGTTTCTTATCGAGCCTGATTGATTAGTAATGAGAATTATCCAGTGGAAATTTTATGTCTACATGAGCGTATCATCTCACTGATCATTGTACTATTGCAGCTAGGGCTGCTGTAAGAAAGTGTCACAGACTGGGTGGCTTAGCAGAAATTTATTCTCTCACAGTTCTGGTGGATAGAAGTCTGATATCAAGGTGGCAGCAGGGTTAGTTTCTTTGAGACCTCTCTACTTGGCTTGGGAATGGCTGTCTTCTACCTGTGTCTTCACATGGTCTTGGTGTCTCTGTCCTAATCACCTCTTCCTATAAGGACACCAGGCACACTGGATTAGGGCCCACTCATATGACCTCTTTAAGGGCCCTGTCTTCTGTTTAATAATAATACAGTCACATTCTGAGGTACTGGGGGATAGGATTTCAACACAGAATTTTGGGGGCACAGTTCCACCTATAATAACCATGATACATTTTATGCAGCTAGTTTGATAGAAGAGTTCTGCTCGTCTTCTTAATGATCGTAGTTCTATTCTGAGGAATCCACAAAGTTAATTAATGGGGTTTCTTTGTCCTAAAATGAATGGCCTTGTTACCAGGTGTTCAGTAAGCAAGCAAAATCCCTGTTTCAGTGAAAAACTCATTACTATTTGGACGATTTTTAGAACTGGACATGTATTTCCCAAAGATTAAACAGTAAACCTTTATTATTGGATGAGATGGCAGATAGTTTGGAGTCCTCTGACAGGGACTTAACCTTGGGATGATGCTACCCTCTACACTTGATCTTAGCCAAAAGGCCAAGAAGGGATGATGCTACCTGTTAAGTTTGCTGTGTGTTGGGTCCTACGGTGCATCCCACTGAAGATCTTAGTATTTGTTTGAGATAGGGTCTTGCTCTGTTGCCCAGGCTGGACTGCAGTCCTTGCCGCCTTTACCTCCTGGGCTCAAGTGATCTCCCCGCCTCAGCCTCCCAAATATTTTGAGTCTACAGGTGTGTGCCACAACGCCCACCTAAATTTTTTTTTTTTTTTAAAGAAGTGAAGTCTTGTTGTGTTGCCCGGGTTAGTCGCAAACTCCTGGGCTCAAGTGATCCTCCCACTTTTTGGCCTCCCTCCCAAAGTGCTGGGATTATAGGTATGAGCCTCCATGCCCACCGACAATACTATTGAATGTTATAAAAGGTATTGTTGATTATTTGTGATTGGCTATGTCTAGAGTCAGAGTTAAGGTTCTCTTTAAGCCCTGCCATCCTTTGTGTGAACTTACATATTTGCTATGTTTACAGGAAGGGTTTCTCAGAAGATACAAATTTGTAAGTGGTCTTATTTCTTAATATTATGTTATAGACTGCAGTGGAAGTCCACAAATATGACACCATAGAGACTATTAACTCTTCTTTGATAGGTAGAGAAAATTAAAGTAGGGAATTATATGAGAAACATGATACAAACATAAAGCAGTTTATTTTAATATAAGACATAGAAATGTGCATTTATTGAGAACCAAGGCATTTTCTTTAAGAACTAATTGTTGCCCATTGGCTTCTCATATATATTTACAATTTCTGGGCTTTGTTTCTTAAAAACAGAGGAAGTTCAAGCTCTTAAGAGGCAATCCTAGTGCAGAATTCTAGATTTTTTATTTCCTCCCCCCATCTTTACATTTGTTTGACCCCTACTAAATCCTACAGTAATTAAAAATAACTTCTTTGTTGAGTTTTCTGCTGATTCATCAGTTGGCATAATATTAATTATATAATTATAATAACAGTTGCAGTTGGCATAACAGGTTTATGATAAAGCACTGTTGACTCTTGGTAAACCTACAAATTGCAGAAGCTTGTGAGCATCTAGAGAGGAGCGCCTGGCCTCCAGAGTTCTCCTTTCTTTGGCTGTCATTCCGGGAGTTTTCAGGGGCAAAGGGAGTATGACTAAAATGCTTTCTCGGTTCCCTGGAGGATCGTACGCCTTGAAAGTGAATATTTGTGAACAATTATATTGCACCTTTGTGGGGGCAGTTTCTGATCAAGGAAATTTGTTTGGGGATTGAGTGCAAAGTCATGCTGAAGTTTTGGGGGAAGTTTCAGTGGCTTTAATTAAAAGTATTTACTGTGTTATTTCTCTTTCTCCTGCTTTTCTCTTTCTTATCCTCCCTGTCTTCCCTCTTTCTCTGTCCCTCTACCTTTCTCCTGCTCTCTCTGTCTGTCCCTCATGTATTCTATCTCGCTCTTTTATGCTCTCCTGTGCTCTGTCCCACTTCGTTTTTTTTCCCCCAGGTTGTTATCGTCAGGAGCTGTGCAAATTGATGTGTGAACGGCTAAAACTCAGCACGTGGAAAGTGCAGCTAGGAGTGCTGCAATCAATGAATGCCTTTTTTCAGGGGTAAATTGCTTCATTGTTCAGTTCTGAATTTTGTTCCCCCCCTGCAGCATTTTATATATAATTGATGGAATTTTAATACATTTAAAAACTAGTAGCTAAAGTGACAATGATACATACAAATAGAAATTGTGACAGGAAAGTTTTAGACTGTTTCTTAATAATTAGCATTTATACCTTGCTTTCTGATTTGTATAGGTTAATGCTTTTGGAAGAAGAACATGCAGATCCTGAGGCTTTGGCTGAAATTCTGCTTGAAACTTGTAAATCAATCACATACTCTTTAGGTGAGTGTAGTAAACTAAACTGATGAGGGAGTCCTAATTTTAAAGCTAAAGAGCTGAGCTTCAAGTATTTCTTATCTTCTCCTAGGACCTAAATTTCTGAAACAACTACTGGACTCTGCTACTTAATATACTCCATGTGTACCCCTTAATTGGAACATTTAAATCTGGAACTATAACAGGATTTTAGCATCCAGTTTAGAAAAACCTTCATCAAGTATTTTTACAAAATTGTTATTTGAAAGTAAATTCAAACTTACAGAACAATTGCAACAACAGTACATATAATACTCTGCAGTATGTATACACTTTACCCTGTATCATCTGTTAACATTTTGTGCCATTTGCTTTGTCATTTGGACTTCTATATACATGTTTTTCTCCTGAACCATTTGAAAGTATTTTCTTACATCAGGCCCCTTGTTCCTCAGTTATTTAGTGTGCCACAGTACAATGTTCAACTGTAGATAGTAAACATGGATGCAGTTTTTTAAAGCAAATGTTTATTGTTCATATTCTGGTTTGTTCACTTGATTTGATAATGTTCTTTTATTTTTATTTTTTTTTGAGACAGAGTCTCGCTGTGTCACTCAGGCTGGAGTACAGTGGTGTGATCTCGGCTTACTGCAACCTCTACCTCACAGGTTCCAGGAGTCCTCCTGCCTCGGTCTCCCAAGTAGCTGGGATTACAAGTGTCCACTACCACAGCCTGCTAATTTTTGTATTTTTTTAGAGATAGGGTTTTACCATGTTGGTCAGGCTGGTCTCGAACTCCTGAACTCAAGTGATCCAACCGCCTTGGCCTCCCAAAATGCTGGGGATATAGGCATGAGCCACCACACCCAACCAGTAATGTTCTTTATAGGATTTTTTTTTTCCTCCCCTCCATTAGGAAATCCAGCCCAGGATGATGATTATGATGATGATGATGATAATGATGATGATGATTGAGATACGGTCTTGCTCTGTCACCCAGGCCAGAGTGCAGTGGCGCCATCTTGGTTCACTGCAACCTGTGTCTCCCAGGTTTAAGCGATTCTGCCTCAGCTTCCCAATTTTTGTATTTTTAGTAGAGACAGGGTTTTACCATGTTGGCCAGGCTGGTCTCGAACTCATGACCTCAAGTGATCTGCCGGTCTTGGCCTCCAGTTCAGGATTATTTATTCAATTTTGTTGTCGCATCTTTTTAGTCTCCTTCAATCTGGAACACTTCCTCAGCCTTTCTTTGTCTTATGACATTGACAATTTTGAAAAATGAAGTCCCCTGGACTTCCCTTTAAAAAAAAAAAAGTTTCTCATTTAGTGTTTGCCTGATGTTTTCTCATGATTAGATCCAGATTATGAATTCCCAGTTGGGATAATTACATAAGTGATGTGTCCTTCTCACAATAAGAGGCACGCAGTGTCCATCTGTCATCATTTATGATGTTAATTTTGATTACCTGGTCAAGGTATTATCAGTTTTCTCTACTGGATAATTACTGTATTTTCCTTTTGTGACTAATAAGTAGGCTGTGGGAACAGACCTTAAGATCATTCAAATAATCTGTTTCTCTTCTTTAAAATTTCTTCTCTAGATTTAGCATATTTATCTGTTACTGGCATTGATTCATGGATTCCTTCCCCCTTCAGATGGTTTATATATAATTTATTTTTCTAAATCTAATTTGTTACTCAAATTGGCCCACATTTGGCCAGTGGAAGCCCTTTCAAGCTGACTCCTGTGTCCTTTTACAGATCACCATCATTCCTTGTAGCACTTCTGTACTTTGTAGCATAACAAGATGATACAGGTTCATCTCATGTCTACCCTGCTTTGGGCTTGGTTGTGCGTTGATTTTTTTGGTAGACAGTTTCACTGTGAACCAGATGCCGTGTCAAAGAGTGGATGCCAAGGAAGCATGTTTCAGTTGCCATTGCTGCCAGTAACATGCTTTTACAGATAAAGAACTGGCAGCCAACAGACTTACCTTTGCTGGGTTCCAGGTGTCCCTGATCAGCCTAAATACTGGGTCATATAATGTTCTTTGGTAAAATGAGGAGGATCATGCAGACCTAAGGATTGTTCTTATGTGTGATGTGAAGATGATTTTGTATTTGAGATACTGTTTTTTGATCTCCCATTTCTAAAATGGATCTTTTAAATATTGCCATTTGTTGCGGTGATTGGTATACTTGGCTGGCAGGATTTTGTTTTCCCAAAGTAAAGACTGTGGACATTAGCACATTTCAAGTATTTGTTGATAATTGGCAAAGGGAAGCTTCCTTTAAAAAAAAAAAAATAAATATACCTTTTCCTAGAGTTGTAATTTCTGGCTATCTTTCTTTCAGTAGCACAAATTTAATCTTGGAGGTTGTGTTTTTCAGGCATGCCATCTGAACTGTTGATTTTTCTTTTTAGAAAATAAGACCTACTCATCTGTGAGAACAGAAGCTTTATCTGTGATAGAACTGCTACTTAAAAAACTTGAAGGTAAGTTCTTGATAGTTCTGATTGGAGGACCACAAAGCCATGGGGCATATGTTTTAGAGTTTGTTTGTTTCATTTTTGCTTATACTCTAAGCATATCCTCTGAAATGCAAATCAGTATGTATGCACATGCAAGAAGAATGGACAAAGCGAAAACTGTTAAATTTTACTAAATATTTAAGTTTAGTACTCTTTAAATTTATATATTTTTAATATGCTATTAAGCTATAGTTGTCTTAAAAACGTTTTTGTTTTCATCATGAATCATAATTTAATCTTGGTTAATTACAGGAAGTGGTTGGCAGTGGCATGTGTACATGCAAATAAGCAGAACGACACACTGAAAAGTGGAGTTGGAAAAACACTTTAACAGTTACCTACCTGAGTCATCAACTCTGATAGTAGCAATTTTCTTAATCTTCTCCCCCAACCCCTTTTTCTTCTGATTGTCTATCAGGGGGTTGAGGCGGGGTGGGGGGAAACTGTTAGCATTTTCTCCAGTGGTGTATCTGTTACCGATTTTAAAAGGAGGACCCTTTTCTTGTCTCTGTCTCTCAAATTGTTTTAACTTCATGGATTAAGAATGTGGAAGATGGACTCATTTTTCCTGTAACCTTGTTTGTTTGCTCTTTTCTACTTTTATGTCTTGTCTTAGCAATTTAAACACATTTCTTAGAGCTCCATTAAACAGAACTTTTAGACTCAGTAACACTAAACATCTCGCAATCCCTTTTCTCCTTGTTGAGGTAAAAGAGCTAGGCACTTAGTCATATTACCAAATTCTGAGTTTGGCAGATAGGTACTAATATAGTCCAGATGAGGAAAAGGAGGCTGAAGGCAAGCTAAACTTGCTTGAAGCCACATTGCTAGAAAGTGGCAGAACCTTGTAAACAAGATTTACGATTTGATAGACTTTCTTATTTTCTAAAAATTTCAGTGTGTATATATTCTTGGGTGCTTTCCTTAAAGAAAAGGGAGACACTCATCTACTTAATCTGACCTTGCAATTATGAAATTTCTTATAAGTTTCTTTTTTTTTTTTTTTAAACTGACCATATCTTATGAAGTGGCCTTGCAATGGTGTTGTTGAAATGACTTTTTTGCTACTGTGTGCCTTGCCTTGATAATTCCTTCTTCCCGCAATGCTTCAGTGTAGTTGTTTCTTTTTCTTCCACTGATACCACCGGAAGGAGAGGAAACTCCCTGATGTGCCTCTATTCTGTTGTCACGAATTAGGTTTTGAGATACCTGTTGAACCTAAAATGATTATGTACGCATCTGTTACCAAGAGGTTGCTTTGTATTTATTTGGGGGATAGGATATTTTTAATTTTTTTTCTTGCTTGTTGTATAAGGATTCTTTGGGGTTTTTTCTTTTTGTTTGTTTGTTTTTTTCATGCAGAATCTAAACAGTGGGAATGTTTGACATCTGAATGCAGAGTGCTCCTAATTGAGTCTTTAGCTACTATGGAGCCAGACAGCAGACCTGAACTACGGGAGAAAGCTGCGTTACTGAAGAAAACACTTGAAAATCTGGAATAAATTAGAAGGGGAAGAAACAAACAAGTGCCATGTTCGTTGGGGGTTGAAATGGTGGTATTCTTTGAAAAACCAAGTCGGGAAGAGTAAAGATTAATCTGTAGCATGCATCATTCCTTGGCTGAAATAAAAAGAAAAAGCCTTAAATTTTGTTCCTTATTAGCTTTATTTTACTTTATGTTTTTAAAGTATCTGGGCTGAGGGAGATTAATGGAACCTTGGATGTTTGAGGGGTGGTTGTAAAGGAGACTGGCAGAAATAGTTATTAAAAGAGTTCAAGCTGTTATTAAAGGAGTTAATAGACAAAGTTGCAGAGCAAGCTGGATAAAAATCTTAGAACTGCATTCAAATTAGTTATTTCAGGGAGGGCCCTGTAAGTAACTTATTTTAACCTCCCTCTTACACACCTGAAAAAAAAGGAAGCTGTGTCCTCTCAGAGGCTTTCTGAGGCCTGTGCCAAAGTCAGAACCCTGGTGTTTAATGTCTCTGGCCCTGGATACTTTATTTTACAGCCATCTGCCAAATCAGTGCTAACCCTGGCCTAACCAAGAAACTTCCAAGATGAGGTACCTTTAGGGTGGCACACAATAGTCCTTGTACCAGAACTAAAGTGACCCTTACCATTGAGTTCCTGAAAGTCAGAAGCCAAACATTGTCTTGTCATGCTGGTTGATTGGAGAAAATGATTGTATAGCATGTTTACAAATGGAGAGGACAGATTTGGTCTCCACAGGATAATTCCAATCATCTTCCTTTTACAGGCAGATAAAGTAGATTAGGACAAGATTACACTTTCTGTCTGTGTCTGTGGTTGCATATTTTGCAAAAACAAAAACAAAATCACAGACTGCCTTGGTTTAGACCATTTATAATCTCAGAACTGTAATGACAACTTAAAATTTCTGTTCACTTTTACGCTACCAGTATGACTTTATAGGGGAGAAGGAAAGCCTTTTAATTAGCCACCTGAAAATTACTCTTTTAAAAAATGCCTTTTCTCAAAATAATGAGATAAAATGATACCACTCCAAGTAAATCATTGCCGTTAGGGGTTTTCCTCCTTCCTTCTGTTGCCCATGCCCCTGCCTACAAGTGTAGGGTAAGAGAAAAAAGTAAAACCTAAGTGCTTATGGTAAACTGAGAACTCTGTAGCTTACCTTGGATTCCATAGCAGAAGATTGGTTACATTCAATATTGATCCTTATTGACATTAACACCAGGAATCTCCATGTTTATTACTTTTCGTGGAAGCTCCATGTTTATTATTTTTGGTGGTCTCCATTGACCGATGTATTTCAAACTTTTTTGACTGCAAGTCATAATAAAAATAACTTTTTACATCATGACCCAGAACATGTGTGTTTGTGTGTGTATATTTGCGCATGCCTGAATATAAAATCTTTAACTAAAACATTTCATGAAATAATACATACTTAACTTTGTGGTACCTTTTAATTCCTGCCCCCGGCCCCCTGATTTAATGCTCTTCAGACCCTCTAAATTCATTGCTTGACTCACAACTGGGTTGCTACTTACAGTTTAAAAAACATGGCCATAGATAGCACTTAGGCTTGGCTGAATATGCTGCATTTGGAGATTGTTTCTGATTGAAAAGGGAGTTTACAAATAAAAATTTAAGTGTTTATTACAAAAACATCCTCTTTGCTGATACTGAAATGTAAGTTTTAGTAGCATCATGAATTGTAAGGAGTCTTCCATGGATTTTCATTTGAGAATGGCTTTTGCTTGGGGAAAAATCAGCTTCGGATGTTTTTTAGAAAGCTTATGGCCTCTTATAGGATGTGATAGTTTTCATATCAGTATTTTCCCCTCCACCAAGTACTCTCTGACTTTCATTTGTGGTACCCAGGATATTCGTCTTTGGCAAGAATACAATGCAGGTTGGGTATTTTCAAAAAGTAGGACTATAAGGGCAAGAATTATACTGTCAGTCTATATCAAATGTTAACACTTTGTCAAATGCTGTGTTTTTTAACCTTTTTTTTTTTTTTTTTTTTTTTTGAGACGGAGTTTCGCTCTTGTTACCCAGGCTGGAGTGCAATGACGTGATCTTGGCTCACCGCAACCTCCGCCTCCTGGGTTCAAGTAATTCTGCCTCAGCCTCCTGATTAGCCGGGATTACAGGCACGCACCACCATACCCAGCTAATTTTTTTGTATTTTTAGTAGAGATGGGATTTCACCATGTTGACCAGGATGGTCTTGATCTCCTGACCTCGTGATCCACCTGCCTCGGCCTCCCAAAGTGCTGGGATTACAGGCGTGAGCCACCGCGCCTGGCCCCCCTTTTTGTTTTTTAATATTGGGAATTTCCCATGGTGCTGAGTGGTGCTGAGACACTTGAACCTTTGTGCTTAGTCTATTGAATTCCTGTACATTGGTTTAGCTTTCTAAGCACATTTCTACTTTGTACACTTAATGCCTTCATCTTGACCAGTAATCATTCATACAGCTAGTAATGCTAAATCATTGTCTCCCAATGCCCCTGTGTTTGGTGTGCATGTGTGTGTATATTTATTTAAAAGAGTTAATAACAGAGCTTGTAATTGTGGAATATTAACACTGGTGAACAAATAGCAAAAGGACTCATTCATGTTTATATCATCGGCCTTTGTTTTCCAGAGCTCCCTAAAACAGATTTTGATTCTTTCTCCCTAGAAATAGCCAGTGCTGCCTGTCATAAAAGCAACTGATTGGTAGGTTCTACTACTGAATTCCTTATTCCTGGAATTGGTGCACCAGATGTATCGTCTCAAATATACTAATATGTGAAAGGAGATACTCAAAGTGTGGCAAGTTGGAAATCAGAATCATGAAAATAGCATATAATTGTCATTTTGGTGATAAAGAACAGCTGTTTCCTCAATGACTGTGTTGAATTCCTAATTCTGTGTGTCTGCCTGTAATACAGTCTACCCACACAGCAGAACTGCCACTGCATCTCCATTGCTTCCCCCTTCCATCTTTTACTGTGTACTTACTAACAAGACAAAGAAAGGAAAAAAGATAGGACCTCATTGGACTGTGCTCTGGTAGCAACTGCACTGTGTGCACACTACCCTTCATGGGGGCATTTCTACCTGCTGCTGCCACGATATATTCATGCTGCTGGTTAAGTCCAGGGAGTTATTTTGACATTGGCCTCATTGTAATATACAAACTGTTGTTAAATGGATATATATGTAACAGAATTTTGTATTTTATATGCGACTTTCACAGAATCTTCTGCAATATGCCCCAGCAAGCTAAGTGTGTGATACAGTCTTATTTGAAAGGAAAAAATCCCATCGTGCCCAAGAAGATATTAAATGACAAATAAAAGCTGCATGATTTCTTCTTTTGAAGTAGTGCATTAATTTTTATTAATTCTCCAGAAAAACAGTTCAACTGCGAAGGCATTGACTAGTTATACTTCAAACAAACAAACAAACAAACAAACAAACAAACCCTACTGCCTGCCATACTCTGAGCTAACTCTAGTAGGTAGAAATTGCTGGCTTAAATGAGAGTTCCAAGGCAAAGCAGAAACAAAAGGAAGACACCCTGAACAACTGCTGTCAGATGCTTGGAGAAAAGGTATCAAGGAAACATTTTATTTGCTCATAAAAGCAATCCCTTTCGAACATACAGAGAACCAGAGGCAGTACTCCTTTTGACCAAGATTAAGATACGTGGCTACAGACATAAAATGTCAGAGGTACAAGCACATCCTATACTGTAAACTGCCAAGCAAATTTTAGACTGTGGAAGATGGCTCTGAAAGTGAGTTACCTTGCTTATTCTCTGGAGCAGCCAGCAAGCCTGCGCTGTTCCCTCCTGGCATGCTTTTCTTTTTCCTTTCAGGCAGATTCCAAAGTAGCTTACTAGAGTAACAATTTTTTTCCTTTTTGAGACAGAGTGTTGCTCTGCTGTCGCCCAGACTGGAATGCAGTGGCGCAATCTCAGCTCACTGCAACCTCTGCCTCCCAGGTTCAGGCGATTCTCCTGCCTCAGCCTCCTGAGTAGCTTGGATTACAGGGTCCTGCCAACACACCCAGCTTATTTTTGCATTTTAGTAGAGATGGGGTTTCATCATGTTTGCCAGGCTGGTCTCAAACTCCTGGTTCCATGTGATCCGCATGCCTTAGTCTCCCAAAGTGCTGGGGTTACAGATGGGAGCCATGGAGCTAGAGTAACTTGTTTTTTTAAAGAGAAATATAATGTTAAAATTAAGTTGGAAACAGCCAGCCTTTCAAACAATGATGCTTTCTGAAAGTTTTAAGTGTTTACCTTTAAAAATGTTACCTTTATTTTACATTCAAATAGAATTGAAAAAGCTTTTATGAAAAAGATAAAGGACAGTGAGAAAGTACTTTAAAACCAATTTTGGGTATTAATGGTTAGAGATATAATTCTGTTATGCTACTTTTGATTCCAGAACAGCCTTCAAATACAAGATCTTTTCTGAACATCAGTATTTGGAGTATTTGTTTTATTTTAGCACTGTGAAGATGCCCCACTGTTTCTTGGCCTTCAGGGTTTCCAGTATGATTTCTGTGGCCATTCAAATTATTGTTCTCTGGATGTGGTGAGTAGTTTTATTTCTGTCTCCTTTCATGATTTTTCCTATTTTTGGATTTGAGCACATTGATGTACCTAGGTGTGCTTTTCTTCATATTTATTTTCAAGTTTTGCTTCAATTTTTGAATTTCTAAATGTATGCATTTTACTGAATTTGAGATTTTTTTTTTTTTTTTGGTCATTTACTCAAGTGTTTTTTTTCCCTGTGCCATCTTCTCTCCTCTCTTTAGAACTCTAGTTAAACCTGTGTTAGATCTTTCGATATTGTACAGGTCCAAGTCATTTTCTTAAAATTCTCTTTAACTTTACTGACTCTACCATGTTCATTCTGATAATAAAGCCCATCTAGTGAGTTTTTATTTCAGATATTTTAATTTTTCATTCTAAAGTTTCCATTTGGTTCATTTAAAACATTTTCTATTTCTAATCTTTTCATTCATTAACATGAATTTAAAAAAACTTAATGGAGCATAATTATAATTGCTTCTGAGTTCTTACCTGATACTACACATCTGGATCATCTTGGCTTTGGTCTTTTTTGATTGCCTCCCCCAGGTCCTCAACACAATTTCCTGGTTCTTCATAAATCTGATATTTTGGGATTGTATCCCAACATTCCTGGATATTGTGCATGTTATGTTGTGGGGACTCTGGACTGTTCCTCTGAGGAGCTGCTTTTCAATTTTAGCAGGTGATGAACATGGTTAGACTCAAACTGCCAACTATCTCCCCTTTGGTGGGTGGCTCAGATCTCAGTTCAGCCTTTTTTTTTTTTTGCGGGGGGCTGAGCTGTTTATACTCTGCCGTGAACATGGGTAGTTCAGAGGTTAGTCACAGACTTGGGCAGAGTTACACATAGAAAACTTGGGTTCTCCTTCTCTGCTGTTTTATTTCCAGGATTTCCCTCTTATTTTGTAGTGGGCTCTGCCTCCCTTAGCCTGGAGAGAAAGTGATTTTCAGTGGGAGCTGTAGCTGTTGTGCGCCATGCTCTGACTGCTTTACCTTAAGGACAAAGCCACAAAGCGCTGAAACCCAGCCCTTCCATGGTTTGGCTCTCTGCCAAAATCTATCTGACCCTGACTAGAGCCTTAAGAAAATTGCTTTGTTTTTTAATGCAGTGTTTATAATTTCTGTATACAAGGCAGTCTTCTGGGAAGTTACTCTGTTGTACTGGACGTAGAATTTGAGAATGTTCTTTTAAAAAAGCTATACAAAGCTAAACATACCCTTGTCATTTGATTGTACTCATTGATATTTACGCAGGTGAATTGAAAACTTGTGTCCATGCAAAATCTGAACATGGATATTTATAGCAGCTTTATCCAAAATACCCCCAAATTGGAAGTAACCAAGATGTCCTTCAATAGGTGAATGGATAAACTGATATATCCAGAAAATGGAATACTCAGTGCTAAAAAGAGCTATCAAGCTATGAGAAACATGGAGGAAACATAAATTTGTATTATGCAATGAAAAAAGTCAATCTGAAGAGGTTACATATTGTGTGATTCTCACTATGTGACATTCTGAAAAAGGCAAAGCTGTGGAGACAGTAAAAAGATCAGTAATTGCCAGGAATTGGGGAAGGGAAGAGTGAATAGAGCACAGGGGATTTCTAAGGCAATGAAAACATTCTGTATAATACTATGGTCGTGAATATATCATCGTACATTTGCCCAAACCTATAGAATGTACACCACCAGGAGTTAGCCTGAAGCAAACTATGAACTTAAGGTGATAACTGTATGTCAGTGTAAGCGCAT